CTGAGAAAATTTCTTCTCATTGCTCTGTAGACTCTCTAACCTGGCATCACATTTACAGGATTCTCCAGAGTTGGAGACACAGGTGCATTCCCTTGGGCGTCTTTCCTGGGATGACCGATCCATAGGAATGCCAGGCTTTGCAGTTTTGGTCCTACTCTTCCGGTCTGAAAGAAATAAAACATGTCAATATCCCCGGTACCAGTATCCACTGCCACAGGAATGAATGAAGCATTTATTTAGCACTTGCTATGTATCAAGCAAAATATGCTAAATACAGAGTTCTCTTCTGTATCCTCTATAAAATGGTCAAACTTCAAAAGGGTAGGATAAATAAGAATGCTACCTTAAATGTGAACAGTAATTTATAATTTATTAAAGCCATTTTTGGAAGGGAACTGCTCTTCAGCTTCTTTGTAACTCTCTGATTCTGAGTCCTCATTCAAAGACACATTTCTAAGGTTCAGGAACACACAGAAAGAACAATGGGTCTGTCAGTCTTTTCCATGCTCTCCCCACAGACATCTGCTTTGTAGTTTCTAAGTTGCTTCCCCTCCTGACCTCTGGAAGGGACAAATGCCATGCTCCTGTGCCTTACTCAACTCAGCATAAAATGTGTATATGAGCAGGGGCTGAAGCTTAATATATTTAAAAGGGCAGAGCTTAAGATTGAATGACTTCTCAATAATATAATGAAAAAGCGAACAGAGAAAGAGTGCAAGGCTTTGATGACTGTATGAAGTTGGAAAGAAGGTACAAAGAATAGGGAGAATCTATGTAGGAGGAGGGAAAACAGAAAAGGGAGCCCAAGGAATGGTAAAAGGCATAAGCTATGGGGAAACACCAGACAATGGACTTTCCCACTCTTCTATCTCAACATTCCCATCCGAAGCACCCCTTCTCACTGTCCCACCCTCAGGAAATCATGAACATTTTCAGCTCCCTGACCTTTATCATAGTTCTGGCATTAGCTGGGCGATCACTCTACCTTTCTATCCATTCATATCCCATAAAGGCATTTCTAATGGTTAGTCTTCTACAGAGCCAACTCCATTCTCTCCAGATTTCACTAAACGCTTCCTTCTCTTACTCGGAGCACTGGATAGAGCACTCGGCTTGGAGTGAGGAAGACCTGAATTTAAATCCAGTCTTAGACACTTGCTAGGAGTGAGACCCTTGTCAAGTCACTTAACTTTATTTGCCTCAGTTTCCTCATCTGTAAAATGAGCTAGAGAAGGAAATGGAAAACAACTCCAGTATCTTTATCAAGAAAATCCCAAATAGGCTCACAAAGAGCGAGACAGGACTGAAACAACTGAGCAGAAAATCTCTTACTTCTCTAAGGAGCTGACTATCATTTTGATCCAAAGCATGTAGGGAGCACCATTGTCATTTATGATTTACTATCACTCTGTATGCCTCATCTTTTTACCTAGGTTACAAAATCCTGTAAGCCCATGAACACATCTCTAATCCTCATGTCCCTATCAAGGGCCTTTGGGATTTACATATAATTAGGTGGCAATCAAAAGAGATGTGTTGAAAGAACTAATGGTTGAGTCCTCTTGGAAGATAGTAAAGTAGGAGTTCACTTGAGAATTTCATTATCTTAGCTCTAAAATACTGTGAGAGGAGGCTGAAAATAAGTGTAAGTACCAGAAAGATTCAGAAGGAAAAGGTGTAAATCTCTCAAAGAATGAGGACCATCTGGTATACCTCTCAGGGTTCCCTGTGTCCACTCAAACCACGAGATGACCAGGCTGGGGGTGGCTGGAAGGATTTATCTCCTGTCACTTCTAGACTCTTCTTTTTTCACATCATTCTGTTGTTTTGGTTTTTTTTAATCCCATTAGCCTAACAATTTAAAAAATTTTTCATTGATATCTTTTATCTTCACATCACTATAAATTTCCCGATATATACTGATCCCATGAGAGAGATGATTCACTGACGACCCCTAATCAAATTCTAATCAGTATTAGTTCATTATGATTCTATAAGGGGTAATGCTCATTAACAATTATTTCACTATATTCATCTAGTAACACAAATTTAGTCAGTCAGCCAATAATAGGTATAAGAATAAGCAATGTATTAATCCATATCTTATATAAATCACATAGGAATATAAGTTCTAATAGAAGGGTCCTATAACAGGCCTCAAATTTTAATGTAATGTTCACCACTTATTTACCAGTTATGGAACTTACTTAGGTAACCACAGGAATGCTGACATGGATATCTCCATCTTGTTTTACTCAAATTCCATGACCAAATGAAGCATGGGTGGCATGGTACAGAAAGTCCCCTGCCCCAATATGTTCCTGGAGCATATGTACAGGTCATACCATCTCCTCGTGT